GTAACTTCTGCCGGGACCTGGACCTGTGCAAAGAGCCCTCCTTCTCTCAGGTGGGCCAGCTCCGTCAGGCCCCTTGCTGGTAAAGCCAGAATATCCAGGCATCAGTGGATCAGGGGGTCCTGCAGTACTCCCTATCAAGTGACCCCAGTCTCCACCTTTACTGGGCTACACCTACTGGGCCCCCAGCTAGCTTTGATGTGAATTAGAAACAAACACCCTTTTCAGGCCACTCAGCTGCCACATGCCAGAGCCTTGTCCTGGTAAACACGTAAGTGATGACAGTGGTGATGTGAGTGTGCCCTGGAGCTGTGAGCAAGCAGTACCACAGTTCTCACCACGAGCTTTTCTCTTGCCATCCCTTCTCAATACTGGGGCTGAGGAAGGTGACCTGGTCCCTTTCCTTCTCTGCCTAGGATGGGTCTGTGCTGCCTCAGTGGCTCTGCTCCAACTGTCAGGTAGCCTACGACTCGTCAGTCATTGAGATGGCCCTGGTGGAAGCCCTGCAGAAGAAACTGATGGCCTTCACCCTGCAGGACCTGGTGAGCAGCGGTGCCTGGTGCTGGGGCTTTTCTGCACCCAGCCCGACCGCCCCTCCAGTTGGTGGAGGGTTTGTTGATAAGCAGTTCGCACCCACGGGAAACTAGAGGTGTACACAGGTCTCAACATCGTTACCTGGTCCTCCAAGGTAACCACCTCTTGGGTCAGGCCTTGTCCATGAGCCCAGGTGACTCATTCATTCCTACAGCATCTGTTAGGCACGTACAGGGGCCAAGTGCTGGCTTCATGGACCTTTTTTATTCTAGTGGAGGGAGATACACAGTAAACAGGACAACTAAGTGATGGTAAGAGTAAAGAGAACCAACAGGCAGTGTGTGAGCAAGAGGGAAGCTTTCAGCATTAGTTGGAGGAGTGGTCTCACCAAGAGGGAACATCTCAGCAAAGACCCGAGGAAGGTGTTGCGGTCCAGACAGGGAACAGCTGGTGCCTGGTGTGATGGATGGGGGAGCCCCAGACTCAGAGTCAAGGGTAGGGTGTCCACCGGCAGATGGATTGGGATGTTTGGATAAAGCCCATTATCGAGTCTCAGATTTTATTCAGAATTGAGGTGAAGGCCATGGGGGAGGGAAGCCTGTCAGGTGCCAAGCGACTGGCCAGCCCTGGCCTGGGCCAGGGAGGCTCCTGACTGGGGCTGCTTCTCATTGCAGATCTGCCTGAAGTGCCGGGGTGTGAAGGAGACCAACATGGCCACGTACTGTAGCTGTGCCGGGGCCTTCTCCCTCACCATCCACACCAAGGTGGGGCCTCCCGTGGACAGCCAGCCCTGCTGCCCCTCGGCCATTGGCCCTTTCTGGGTCTCGGCCTTGCATCTCTGTGCCTCCTCTGGGACTAGTCTCACTGTGACTGGTCATTCCTGTAGGTCTTCATGGAGCAGATCAGAACCTTCCAGAACATTGCCCAGCACTATGGCATGTCGTACCTCATGGAGACCCTGGAGTGGCTGCTGCAGCAGAACCCCCAGCTGGGACATTAGCAAGCTGGGCAGCGTCCCCATTCTCTGCTCTGACTACCCACATCCAAGACGGGCACCCAGGAAGACGACCCTCAGGGAGCAGGTCATGCAGCCCAGAAGAAGCGTGAACCAGCCAGAGCAGGAAGTGGCTCCACCTCCAGGTTCCCGGGGCCCAGCCTCGGCCAGGGCAGCCCTCTCTAGGCCCAGCCTCGGTCGGGGCAGCCCTCTCTAGGCCCGAGAAGCGTCTCCAGCGAGGGGTCCCAGGGCTGCCTTCTCGCTGGATGAACACCCCTCTGCTGCTGCACGGCCCTCCCTGCCCACTCCTCTGCTGCCCTGAGGTGCCCTTGGAGGTCTTCTGTTTGAGCCGAGCCCCTGAGGGTGGCTGGAAGCCAGACGCAGGGCGAGGGGCACCTGAGTGGGAGTCTGCAGCCCCAGCTCTCCAGTTCCTTGCTTCCGGGAGAGGTGGCTGTCCTACAGTCCACGCCAGCGGCATGCGGGCCGCATCCTGGGGTCCCTGGCAGAACCTGTGGAGACCTGGGCGTCTCTCACACACTGAGTTCTGGGGCTTGGGCCCCTCTGTCTGTGGAGATTCCCAGTCAGAGCAGCCTTTGCTGGAGTGTCCGTATCATGGCGTAGTCACCTCGTCGGCAGCAGTGAGACTGGGCGGGGGGCGGGAAGGCTGAGGAAGGGGAGGATCTCAGGCTGGGGCTCAGCCGCAGCGGGGCGTGGCACCTCTCCCTCTGAATCTGCCTGTGCTGTGAGGGGGCCACTGCAGCAGGAGGCCTGAGGGCCCCGGGGAGGGAGGAGGCGCGCCATTATCGCAGACTTCGACATCATATGTTAGCACCTGGATTCTAGAGAAGTATTTCTTCACATGCCAGACTAGGTTCTTTCCTTCAGGTCTGAGGAGTGGTTGGGAGAGGATGGAGAAAAGGGCAACAGCAGTTTTATCGGGATTGAGGCAGTTCTGTTCTTGCTTCTCAGCCTCAGGGATCAGTACAAGACCTGTGACCCCAAGGCAGAGAGGGTCCTTGGGCTGTACCCCCTTTAAAATGTGACACTCACCACCAGCTTGTTCAGGGCCCTGAACAGAGGGGAACAGAGATGTGCCCCTTGCTGCACAGAGATGTGGGCCGTGCTGTTTTCTCCTCCCGGGTGGGGCTGAAAGAGGAGAATGGGCCAGGCTGGGGGACCCTTTGCTGAGCATGAGTTCTCGCTCCGTTCTGCCAGCAGCAGCCCCAGAACATAAGATCAACTCTGTGCACCTCATTTCTAACTAAATGCAACTGGAAGCAAAAGAAAACCAGCCAAGTTGGCGAGAACACAGACATGTTAAAAGTGAATCACAGGGGCTTCCCAGGTGGCGCAGTGGTTGAGAGTCCACCTGCCGATGCAGGGGACGCGGGTTCGTGCCCCGGTCTGGGAAGATCCCACGTGCCGCGGAGCGGCTGGGCCCGTGAGCCATGGCCGCTGAGCCTGCCTGTCCGGAGC